GGAATAGTTTAGGTTAGATGGGCTTCAGATTGGTTTCACAGGTCGGCACAACATCGAGGGCCGAAGGGCCTGTACTGCGCTGTAATGTTCTATGTTCTATGTTGGAGAGGGTAGAGACGGTGGGGAATTAAATACTGGCTGAGGCAGTGATGCACACAGCTGTGACAGAGTTTTCAAAATAAACTCAGGCTACCCGCTGCTGTTTTTATCACATCTCCTATGGAATCCAAAGGGGTTAGACCAGTCACACAGGAACTGCCCACAGGCCGTGTAAACAAACTGAACAGAATCGTCTGCAGGAAGCTGCACACTCGCTGAAACAGAGCAGGTTGTGGGGAGGGTAGTGGGGAGGGAAAGGGAGGGGATGGAGATTGGGTGGGGCTGGGGGTTAGGGTGAGGGTGGGGTTGAGTGTTTTTTTCTATTCATTTTGTGGGATGTGGGTGTCACTGGCTGGGCCCAGCATTTATTACCCTGTCCCTAGTTGCCCCCTTGAGAAGATGGGGGTGAGCTGCCTTCTTGAACCGTTGCATTCCTCCTGCTTGGGTTAACCCACAATGCTGTTAGGGAGGGAATTCTAGAATTTTGACCCAGTGACAGTGAAGGAACAGCGATATATTTCCAAGTCAGGGCGGTGAATGGCTTGGAAGGGAACTTGGAGGTGATGGTGTTCCCGTGTATCTGCTGCCCTTGTCCTTCTAGATGGAAGTGATTGTGGATTTGGAAGGTGCTGTCTGAGGATCTTTGGTGAATTTCTGCAGTGCATCTTGTAGATAGTACACACTGCTGTTACTGAGCGTCGGTGGTGGAGGGAGTGGATGTTTATGGATGTGATGCCAATCAAGTGGGGGCTGCTTTGACCTGGATGGTATCAAGCTTCTTGAGTGTTGTTGGGGATGCACTCATCCAGGCAAGTGGGGAGTATTCCATCACACTCCTGACTTGTGCCTTGCAGATGGTGGACAGGCTTTGGGGAGTCAGGAGGTGAGTTACTCTTCGCAGTATTCCCAGCTTCTGACCTGCTCCTGTAGCTGCTGTGTTTATGTGGTGAGTCCAGTTGAGTTTCTGGTCAATGGTAACCCCCAGGATGTTGATAGTGGGGTATTTAGTGATGGTAATACCATTGAATGTCAAGGGGCGGTGGTTAGATTGTCTCTTATTGGAGATGGTCATAGCCTGGCATTTGTGTGGCACGAATGATACTTGCCACTTGTCTGCCCAAGCCTGGATATTGTCCAGATCTTGTTGCATTTGAACATGGACTGCTTCAGAGTCTGAGGAGGCATAAATGGCGCCGAACATTGTGCAATCGTCGGCAAATATCCCCAATTCTCACCTTATGATGGAAGGAAGGTCAGCGATGAAGCAGCTGAAGGTGGTTGGGCCGAGGACACTACCCTGAGGAACTCCTGCAGAGATGTCCTGGAGCTGAGATGACTGACCTCCAGCAACCGCGACCATCTTCCTGTGGGGGATGGATGTGAGGGTGGGGGTGAGGGTTGTGGTGAGGGAGGGGTTGAGGGTGTGGGTGAGGGATGTGGGTGAGGGTGGGGTGAGGATGGGAGTGAGTGTGCGGTGAGGGTGGGGTGAGTTTGTCCATGGGGGTGAGGGTTGCGGTGAGGGAGAGGTTCAGGGTGTGGGTGAGGAAGGGGCCGAGGGTGGAGTGAGTGTGGGGATGGGTGTGAGGGTGGGGGTATGTGGATGGGTGGGAGGGTGAGGTGAGTGCAGGGATGGGTGTGTGTAGGTGGGTATGAGTATGGGGGTGGGTATGAGTGTGGGGATGAGGATGGGAGTGGGGGTGTGGGTCAGTGTTGGGGGTGGGGGTGAGGGTGGGGATGAGTGTGAGGGTGCATGTGGGGGTGGGTGTGAGGATGGGACTGAGGGTGGGGGGGTGAGTATGGTAATCTAGCAACTGGCATTTCAATAACTAATCCCAAATCCCAATGCAATCTATTATTGTAAAAATTCCTTCATTGGATGTGGTTATCACTGGCTGGGTCAACTTTTATTGCCCTGGAGGAGATGGTGGTGTGCTACCTTCTTGAACAGCCAACAGTTGTTGGGGTGTAGGGGCTATGCTGTTGTACTCCTAGGAGTGAGCTCCAGGATTCTGACCCAGCAACAGTGAAGGAACAGCGATAGATTTCCAAGTCAGGATGGTGAGTGGCTTGGAGGGGAACTTGCAGGGGCTGGTGTTCCCATGTATCTGCTGCCCTTGTCCTTCGGGATGGAAGTGGGTTTGGAAAGTGTTACTGAAAGATTTCCATTTGGTTTGAGACAACAACATTGCTGTAGGTATATGGAGACACATGCAGGGCAAACGTTTCCCACCTTTCCATTTTCTTTAGGTTTCAGGGATGAGAAGCCTCAGTGATGAGGATTGACTGAAGAAGATGGGACGGTTCTCATTGGAGAGAAGCTGGCTGACAGGAGATTTGACAGAGGTTTGCAAAACAGTGAGCAGACTGGACAGAGTAGACAGGGAGAAACTGTTCCTATTTGTCAAAGGAACAAAAACAAGATCTTTCACCTGACGAAGGAGCAGTGCTCCAAAAGCTTGTATTTCAAATAAACCCATTAAGATTATAACCTGGTGTTGTCTAACTTCTAACCTCAGCAAAAGAAGCAAGGGTGAAATGAGCAAACCCTTTATCACAGTGAGTCATTAAGGTCTGGAAATGTGATGGAGGCAGGTCCAATTGAAACATTCAAGAGGGCATTAGATGATTATTTGGATAAAAAACTGTAAGAATGTGGGGAGAAAAGTTGTTACATAGAAACATAGAGGATAGAAGCAAGAGGAGGCCATTCAGCCCTTCGAGCCTGTTCCACCATTCATCACGATCATGGCTGATAGTCCAACTCAACAGCCTAATCCTGTTTTCTCCCCATAACCTTTGATCCCATTCACCCCAAGTGCTATATCTAGTCACCTCTTGAATACATTCAATGTTTTGGCACCAAATACTTCCTGTGATAATGAATTCCACAGACTCACCACTCTTTGGGTGAAGAAATATCTCCTCATCTCCGTCCTAAATCATCTACCCCAAATCCTCATACTGTGTAACCTGGTTTTGGACACACCCACCATCGGGAACATCCTCCCTGCATCTACCCAGTCTAGTCCTGTTAGAATTTTATAAGTCTCTATGCGATTTCCCCCCTCATTTGTCTGAACTCTAGTAAAAACAATCCCAACGCAGTCAATCTCTCCTCATACGTCAGACCCGCCATTCCCAGGAATCAGCCTGGTAAACCTTTGCTCCACTCCCTCGAGAGCAAGAGCATCCTTCCTCAGAAAAGGAGACCAAAATTGCACACAATATTCCAGGTGTGGTCTCACCAAGGCCCTGTATATTTGCAACAACGCACCCCTGCTCCTGTACTCGAAATCTCTCGCAATGATGGTCAACATACCATTTGCTTTCTTTAGCACCTGCTGCACCTGCATGCTTACCTTCAGTGACCAGTGCACAAGGACACCCAGGTCCCACTGCACACTCCCCTCTCCCAATTTACAGCCACTCAGGTAGTAATCTGCCTTAAAGAACATAGAACAGTACAGCACAGTACAGGCCCTTCGGCCCACAATGTTGTGCCAGACTTTTACCTGAAACCTAAGGTCTATGTAACCTCCACCCCTACCTTATACTATCATCCAGATGCCTATCTAATAGCTGCTTAAATGCCCCTAACGAGGCCGACTCCACTACCCTCTCCGGCAATGCATTCCACGCCCCTACCACTCTCTGAGTAAAGAACCTACCTCTGACGTCTCCCTGATATCTACCTCCTTTCACTTTAAAACTATGCCTCCTCGTAAAAGCTACCTCCACCCTAGGAAAAAGTCTCTGGCTGTCCGCTCTATCTATACCTCTGATCATTTTGTACACCTCTATCAAGTCACCTCTCATCCTTCGTCGTTCTAAAGAGAAAAGCCCTAGCTCTCTCAACATTTCCTCGTAAGACCTTCCCTCCATTCCAGGCAACATCCTGGTAAATCTCCTTTGCACCTTTTCCAACGCTTCCACATCTTTCCTGTAATGAGGCGACCAGAACTGGACAAAATTCTTGTGTCTTGTTTTTGCTTCCAAAGTGAATAACCTCACATTTGTCCAAACGATACTGCACCTGCTATTGACTTGCCCACTCACCCAAACTGTCCAGATAATGCTGAAGGATCTCTGCATCTTCATCACAGTTCACCCTCCCACTCCCACCCAGCCAGTGATGCTCACTCAATGTGCTGGTTTACACATGATGGGCTGAGTGGTCTCCTTCAGCACTGTAACAAATTGGAGATTCCTTCAAGGACATGAGTGAACCAGGTGGGTTCTTACGGTGATCTACAGGTCATTACTAAACAAAGTTATGCGTTCCACATTTTTATTGAATTTAAATTTCACATGCCGTGATCGGGTTCGAACCCACGTCCCCAGGTACATTCGCCTGGCCCAGCGATATTACCGCTGCACCCACTGCCTCCTTTAGGTTGCAGAGAATGGCCGTTCCCAATTGTATCCACCGTGATATTGGATATCTCAGCCAAATAGCCGCTTCTGACAACGTGAGCCCTAATCACATGGAGAGCTATTCGACTGCGTGCAGCATCACAGAACCAGTCATACCCTGCAGCACGGAACAAGCTGAGTAGTGGCTAGGACAACGTGGCCATTGCCTGACCTGTTTCTAGTTCAGCCACATGGATTCTGACCCTAGCTCTCCCTGCCTCTGTGCAGCTGGCAGATAGATACAGTCAGTTCTAGGTGACCGCAAGGCTCAGAGAAAATTAATTTATTTTGTAGCAGCTGTGGAGAGAAAGCAGAGTTAGTGCTTCACACCTTGTGAGCCTTTTTTTTAAGAAAGCTCTCTAAAAAAAGGGTCACTGGACTCAAAAACATTAACTATTTCTCTCTCTCCACAGAAGCTGCCAGACCTGCTGAGTTTCTCCAGCAACTTTCTGCTTTAGTTTCGGATTTCCAGAATCTGCAGCTCTTTGCTTTAATTTAGATCGTATCTGATTTCCATGCCCACAGCTCAAGGCACAAACACTCCTCCTGCCTCAAGTTATTAGAAGCTGTTTGCAAATCATTTCTTGAGCGCTCCATGCGCTGGGGATTTCGCTTTTATTTAAATAAGAACAATCAGTTTATTTTGCTCAGTCCATTCACCTCGGTCTGGTTTAAGGCCTTTACTTTCCTTCAGAGTTTGCCCTGTGGCCTCCCTTTAACCTTTTCGAGGTTTTGCACATTCAGGGCACTGGGTTTGTTGGTGAACGGGGTCCACTGGCTCTGGATACTTGGGTTGTCTGTGTGGTATGGCTTGCGAATACGAATGATGTCCAGACCCGACTGGCTGTGCATTTTCTGAAGGAGTTGGCCGACTTCCTCAGCCGTCTTCCTGTTCAGGGCCTCTTCCCTCACGGCTCCGTTCACTGCAGCAAGACAGAACAGCAACAACATGTTCCTTTAATCAATGAGAAGGTGCCACAAAGTTATCAGTACAACAGGATGTCGCATTCCCGATCCCTATCCCTAGGAATCTAGGACCAAATTTTGTTTATGCTTCATGGAGTATGTACATCGCTGGCCATGCAGCATTTATTGCCCAGAGGGCAGTTATGAGTCAACCACGTCGCTGTGGATCTGGAGTCACATGTAGGCCAGTACAGGTAAGGATGGCAATTTCCTTCCCTAAAGGACATTAGTGAACCAGATGGGTTTTTCTGACAATCAACAATGGATGCATGGTCTTCATTAGATTCTTAATTCCAGATATTTTATTGAAACCTGTGGTGAGATCCCTAGAACATTATCTGGGTCTCTGGATTAACAGTCCAGTAATAATACCCCTAGGGCATGGTCTCCCCCCTCACTTAACCATTTATATCCCTCTGCAGACTGCTAATGTCTTCTTTGCAGCTTAGTCTCTGATCTAACTTTGTTTCATAGCAAATTTAGCAACATCAGGTCGCTGATATAGACTGTAAACAGTCCAGTGCCCAGCACTGATCCCTGTGGCACGCGCACACCCACACACTCACACACAGGCGCATGCATGCATGCACTCAGACACATACTCGCTCGCTCACTCTCTCTCTCACACACACACACACACACACACCCACACAGGCACAGACACACACACACAGGCACATGCATGCGTGCACTCAGACACATACTCGCTCTCTCTCTCTCTCTCACACACACACACACACACACAGACACACACACCTTTCTGAGAAGGACCAACATAGAATAACATTGTCCTCATTGTCTGTTTATTAGTGTAAATCGTACTGACCTTGCACATGTTACAACGTGCCACTAACACTCAGTTTGCACACAAATATTAAAATGTCATATGATATCAATATTGGAATAAAACTTGTTGGAATTTGCTTTCCTCAACCCAGACAAATCACAAACGTAATTAGCAAACGTGTGCTGTAGAAACATGTCAGCTCCAACAAGCTCTCAGGTCTGCTTTGATCAACACTCCATCAAGCACTGAACTCCTGATGAGTCACAGGCTCTGATTTCAGCTGTGGAGAAGCTGGGTTTTTTTCTGGGAAAAGGAGTGGGGTTTTGGCCATTCGGAGAATTGGCCAAGAACAGCTTGGCGCTCGTCAGAAAGTGAGCTGCCAGCGTTGGGAGAACAAACCGGTGGATTGGGAATGCTGTCGGCTCTTTGCAAAGTTGAGACAGTGAGCTGCTGGGTGGGGGAGGAGGGTGGAGGCTACACGTGTCTGACAGTTCATACTGCATCGACGGTGATCAACTTCGAAAGCTTCACAATGACTAGCTGATGGCTGCAACGTGTCACACTGCAGGGACTGGGAGAAGCTGGGGTCTGAGGGAAGGTCTCTGGGACCAGGCGGGGGGTCTGTCGGAGATTGCAGCCAGAGGAATCTCACACCCACAAGGGGATTAAAATACAAGACACTGAATGAACTATCCACCAGTGGTTCAGTGGGAATTACCAATGTTAAACCGAAGAAGGAAACAGAGTAGACAGTACTCCAGCAGCAGAGTAGAAGAGCTGAGTCCAAGGCTGGTCCACTCCCACCTGCTTTCTTTCTCCGATCCACCATCCAATCATGGCTGATCTGATTTTAACCTCAACGCTACATTCCTGCATATCCCCGATAATCTTTCATCCCCTTGGTCATCAATAATCTATCTCCCTCGGCCTTAAAAATATTTAAAGATTCTGCATCCACTGCCTTTTGAGGAAGGGAATTCCAAAGACTCAGAACCCTCGGAGAGAAATGTTTCCTCATCTCTGCCTTAATTGGGCAATCCTTAGTTTTAAATCTATGTTAGATTCTCCCGCAAGAGGATGCTTCACATCCCCTCGACCAAGTACCCTCAGGATTTAATCTGTTTCAATTAAGTCACTTCTGACTGTTCTAAACTCCAGAGGATACAGGCCCAGCCTGTCTAGCCTTTCCTCATAACAAAACCCACTCATCCCAGGGATTTATCAAGTAAACTTCTCCAAACTGCTCCCGACACATTAACATCCCCCAGTAAGTACAGTGACCAGTACTCCAGAGTCTCACTATTGCCCTGTATAACTCAGGGATAAACTCCCGACTTTTGCATTCACTTCCCCTCACAAATAACCAGAACATTCTATGAGTTTTCCTGATGACGTGCTGTACCTTCAGACTCTCATTCTGTGATTCATGTGCTAGGTCACCCAGGTCCCACTGCAGCTCAGAGTTCCGTAACCCCTCATCACATCGATAATGCGCTTCTTTTTAATCTTTCTGTCAAAATTAACGACTCCCCAAAAGATAACTGATGTGCCACTGTATTCTAATCATCCTGGTGGCGTGCTTCCTTCTTCACCAGCAGCTGGCGTTGGTGGGTCCACAGGCCTGAAGGAACGTCCATATTGTTCCGAGTCAGGGTGCTCTGTGCTGCAGGAGGAGCGCTGCAGTTGGTGGGGTTCCCATGCATCTACTGCCCTTGGCTTTCGAGCTGGTAGAAGTCACAGGATTGGAAGGTGCTGTCTAAGGAGTTTAGTTCCAGAGAGTTACAGAATCTCTAGAATGTGGAAGCAGGCCATCCGGCCCATCAAGTCACACTGACCCACGTCCCACCAAGACTCACACCCTACCCTATCCCCGTAACCCACATCCCTGGGCACTATGGGGCAATTTAGCATGGCCAATCCACCCTACCCTGCACATCTTTGGACTGTGGGAGGAAACCGGAGCACCCTGGAGGAAACCCACGCAGACACAGGGAGAATGTGTAAAGTCCACACAGACAGTCGCCCGAGGGTGGAATTGAACCCGGGTCCCTAGCGCTGTGAGGCAGCGGTGCTAACCACTGAGCCACCGTGCCGCCCAAGAGGGCAATTAAGAGTTAACCACATTGCATCTGACATCAAATGCAGGCCAGACCAAGTAAGGAAGGCAGATTTCCCTACCTTAAACACTGCTAAGGCATCAGTATGGGTTTAGTCCACAGTCTGCTAGTGTTATAACTGACACTTTATTCCAGATTAGTTACTTAATTTAAATTAAATTCCTCACACTAACGTCACCAGAACATCAGTCCAATAGCATAACCTCTGTGCTACAATACATAGAACATAGAACAATACAGCACAATACAGGCCCTTCGGCCCACGATGTTGTGCTGAACTTTTACCCTAAACCTAAGGTCTATCTAACCTCTACCCCTACCTTATACTATCATCCATATGCTTATCTAATAGCCGCTTAAATGCCCCTAATGAGGCCGACTCCACTACCCTCTCCGACAATGCATTCCATGCCCCTACCACTCTCTGTGTAAAGAGCCTACCTCTGACGTCTCCCCTATATCTACCTCCACTCACTTTAAAACTATGCCCCCTCGTAATAGCTACCTCCACCCTAGGAAAAAGTCTCTGGCTGTCCACTCTATCTATACCTCTGATCATTTTGTACACCTCTATCAAGTCACCTCTCATCGTTTGCCTTTCTATAGAGAAAAGCCCTAGCTCTCTCAACCTTTCCTCGTAAGACCTTCCCTCCATTCCAGGCAACATCCTGGTAAATCTCCTCTGCACCTTTTCCAACGCTTCCACATCTTTCCTGTAATGAGGCGACCACAACTGGACACAATACTCCAGATGTGGCCGAAACAGGGTTGTGTGTAGCTGCAGCATAATACCCATAATCATGGATATTAACTGGGATACAGCTTGTACCACTGATTCCAGGAATGGTCTGGAGTCTCTCAGGATTGTAGTTTAACCTCTAAGACACTGCCATGTGGAATCCTGGTGAAAAGCAAAATCAGAGGACCATTAGGAATGTTTATGGGCATTTTCTTTGAAGAATTCTCTTTCTCCAACATTAAAATATTGAAAACGTGGAGGAAGGAAAAAGCTGCTTTTGTCTGAGTCAATTGGGGAATGGGTCTTTTCACTTTTGCTTGAGATGGGGAGTGGGGATGAGTCAGGGAATGAAGTTTCCAGGAAGACATTCATTTACAATCAGCAACCCAACCACCGAGTGAGGGAAGATGCTTGGTCGCTCAGACAGCGCACTGTTTCTGACTTGTGTAAGGTCACACCAATGACATGGTGTCAGGATCACAGCCAAAATCCTGAAGACCCTCTCCAGTGGCTCGCTGGTCTCTCTAACGGGCAAAGGGGGAGGGTTAGATTGAGAGGAAATGTGTATACATTCCGACCAGCCCACAAGCCAACGTTACCCTGGAACCTATAGCTATCAGATTATCTGACAAGCTTCCTTCTGTCTTGCTGCACAGGCCTCACCCTTTCAGACATTAAACCAACTGCAAAGTCCAACAACAAGTAAATTCCATTCATACTAATTCCATCAGATATTTCCTCAAACGCTCAGCTCCTGCTCTGCGAGGAACTGAATATCCAAACACAGACACTCAATGACCCAACAATTCCTGGGCAGGTGGTCGGGGACAAATTGGACATTAGTGAAGGTTTTGATGCATTTCTACATTCAGGGTAAATTTATATAGCGCCTTTGGTAACTTCAGGGTGTCCCAAAGTGCTTTGTTCAACCAATGAAGTGCCTGGCTCTAGCGTCTCAACTGCAGCTGCCAATTTGGGCACAGCAAGCTCCCACAAATAGAAACGACCAACAGAATATTTTTATTTAATTCATTCACAGGATGAGGGTGTTGTTGGCCAGGCCAGCGTTTATTTCCCAGACAGCGTTTGAGAGCCAACCACATTGCTGTGGGTCTGGAGTCACATGTAGGCCAGACCAGGTAAGGATGGCAGTTTCCTTCCCTAAAGGGCATTAGTGAACCAGACGGGTTTTTACAATTGACAGTGGTTACAATCAGGCAGCTTTTTCGTGATTTCAGATTTTATCACCTGCCATGGTGGGATTCGAACTTACGACCCCCAGAACATTACAGACAACAAGGTGCAGGGCTGGAT